CGAATCCCACTGTGGGACGTGGAGAGCGGTCCTTCGGATGAGACCGTATAAAACGAGGTCCAACGAGGTATCGCAGTAGGTCCTGGTACGAAAAAGATCCCTCGTTGCTCAATGGCCCTGAGTGCCGAGTATAGGACAAAACTTGTAGCTCTCCACTGGCAAGTGGTAGCGTCTCCATATGAGTGAAAAATTCTTGAGACGGACGTTAAACAACATACAATCAACCAATCCTCCCCATCTTGCCCCCGATTTTTTCTGTTCCTGTCATCTCCATAACTGTGTTGTTTGAGGTATGCTGCTGTCAACTGGCCTCAAGAATCTTTCTGAGACTCTTGATTTGAAATATGCCAATCCCATTTTCCCATGTATTCTAAAATCTCACATTCGTATAACAAAACAGAGAGGACCTGGCTTTTGAAGAGGGAGACTTGGATCTTTCTACTTAAGTACATGTATGTAGCCTTCCAGGTGTAGGCTACGTTGAAGGATGCACTAGCCAACGTTATCCTCTCCCCGATACCAGCATACTTCCTCCGTCTTTGGTGACATTGGTGTCAAGGTACGTGAAGCTGTCCACCTCTCTCTTCGGATTCAGCGTTTCCGACTATCAAGCTTGCTTTACTCTTTGTGTTTATCTATACAGTTTGCACTTCTTAGTATCCAGCTTATCCTTAGTTTAGCTGAGTTGTCTTTTGGTTTTCTTGTCTTAAACTGAGGATGGTTCATTGTTGTTTACTGCCGCCTGCAAAGTTGAGGTCTTCAAGCATAGTGGTGAAGTCCTATTGAATTCCTTTTTCTCTTCTCTGATTGTCTGTTGCATCACCACTAGAAACCGGAAACCTGACAAACAACAAACTTGTTTGACGCTAGTCTTTACAAGGAAAGAGGTTGTAGTCTTGTTGTCGTTAATCACACTGGAATAGTCATACAGGGCTTTAGCCATCTTAAACAGTGTTTTGGGTATTCCGTATTTCTAAGGATGAAAATCTGATTGGCAGTCACTCTCCCTCTCCGAAATCCTGCCTTCTTCTTCCTAAGAGTGTGGTCAACTCCCGCCTGTATTCTGTTGATGAGGATTTTGATGAGTGCTTTGCTATTCATTTCCTGCATTCCTATAAGTTGAATTTCTTGAAAATTTCACAGACCAGGTCCTCTTGGCCCATGCTCTGGGTAAGTTGTGCTTCAGTTCCTGACTAGTCTGATCGACGTCTGCCTTTAAAAATTCAGTTATTTGATCTGCTCCAGGGCCCTCCAATTCCGAAGCATCTTTAGTGCAGTCCTTATTCCCTATGTGAGTACCGGGTATTTCCTCAAAGTGTTCCCTCCATCTGGCAAGCCTTGCTACTTTATTTTTCAGCAGCTCCCCATCCTCGCTCTTCACTGCTGTTGTTTGTCTATAACTCTTTCTTGTCAGCTACTTTACGTTAACGTACATTCCTTCTGTCTCCCATTCTTGGCCGCTTTCTGTACTTGCTCAGCTTTCTCTGTTATTCATCTCCTCTTGTCCATTCTCGCACTTAGTTTTCTTGATTGCTTTGTCTTTCTATCTGTGAGTTTCCCGAAATTTAGTATTGATTCTTTCTCATTCTGTGCTGTCTATCTTTGCCTTGACGTCTTTTCTTTCGTCTATCAACTTTCATGTGTTTTTGCTGATCCAAGGCTTGCTTTTGCCTTTCCTGAAGCTGAGTGCTTCCACTGCTGAATTCACATAGGCCATTCTCTGATGTTTCGACATTTTCTAGATATCTTCAGTGTCTTCCTTGTGTTCTTGTAATTTTTTCTCAAGCAGTCATTTAAAAAAATTTTTTACTTCTTTGATCGAGGCGCTCTACATCCAGTCTTGGCTTCAATTTGTTCTTAATCTTGCACCTACTGAGGCGTAGTCCGATTCGGGTCTTCATCATGTATTGGTTGCTTTTTTGCATCCGCTCCCCTCTGAACATTGGCGTCAAGAACAGAAAATAACACTACCCATTTATGAGTAGGTAACTTTTCGCTATTCCAGAAGCAGGCAAAAATGTTGTTTTGTGAATGTTCCTGTCATTACAGTTACAACTGTACATGTCAGTCCATTGGTCTGTATGGAATTTTCACACGTGTACAGCCCTTTTCTATTCTCATTTTGTGTATCCAGTCCATTGGATAGCAATACTTCTTTCATACCCATTATTATCACCGAGTTCCCCAATAATAATAATGATGTCGCTCTTTTTGCATCCATCCGAGATCTCTTGTAGTTCCTGATACAATTGATTCTTCTCCTCCTCATTTTCATATGTGGCACATATGCTTGGTTTATCGACAATCTCCTGTATCTAGTAGAAAGTTTTATCTTATTATATCTTATAGAATCATGCTGTTATGAATCTCTTTCTAATGAGTGTACATTCCATGAGTGTTTTCACCTCCTGCTGTAATAATTTCATCAAACTTTTGCATTTCTTGCTTAACTCCCTTTACTTAAACAAATTTGAAACCCCATTCCACGAGGACACTTTGTACTACAATGAAGGGCATTGAAGTGACTGTGGTAAAATTGTTCATTTGAGTGGAAGTAAAAGTGTTTCTTATCGAACTTCATTTGTCACATAATGACACGTTCATTTCTTTAGAAGCTGGGAGAGAAATATTCGTCAAAATACTTTAGGACAGTCCCACTCTCTGCAACTAGCAACATGAGTTACATTGAAATGGAGATTTTCAAAAGTTAGATTAAGAGAGAGAGTTGTAGACTAGCTTCTATAAAACACGTATTGCAAGGAACATGTACATAATTAAATAAATTTATCATGCTTACTGAGTTACCACAACATATGTATATTCAGCACTTACTCAGTATCAGTATTTACTCAGTACTTATGTAGACTGTCAATTTCATTGGTTATAAATTTATAATATATATTTAATAAATGTTCCTGACCCCTTTGACAGTCTTTTTTTTTTCCTTTCAAAAGAAATATGTATGACAAGCCAAATTCACAAAAATGAATTAAACATAGTTTCACAGTTGATAAACTAGGTTTATCAGTAGTAAACTATAGTTTACGGACTGTAAACTATAGTTAACAACGTTGTTAATCTACATCTGTAAACCATAGTTAAAATGATAATCTATGTTTCAGAACCGTAAACTAACTTAACACTGAAAACAATCATTTGCGACTGTAAAACATAGATTATCTGATGAATACAGTTTCACGATGTGTAAACTATGGTTTAAAACTCTTAACTATAGTTAACGATCTGATAAATATAGTTTCATGATTTGTGAAACTATGATTAATGACTCTTAACTATAGTTCGCGATTGTACATTATAGTTTACAGACGTGAATCTATGTTTATCAACAAAATCTATTGTAAACGTTTACAAACAGACAGATAAACTTAGATTAGCATTCTTAAACTATAGTTAACAGCCATTAAATATAGTTTTACAGATGAAAAATATAATTAATGAATTGTTAACTATATTTTACGGTTTGTAAACTATAGTTTACAGTCGATAAACCTAGTTCATTAACTTGAAACTATGTTTAGCTCATTTTTGTAAATTTGGTGTGCCATAAATATGAGTATCATTATATTACAGTCAATGTTCATAAGAAAGCTCAAAACGATCCATTCAAACGGAGACTTAAACCACTTCAATGCTCTTCATTGTACCTTAGGTTGAAATTAAAAAAGATTGATTGATTGATATTTGTTGTTTTACGCTAAGTCTGCAATATTTCGGCGGTAAATTGAAGAAGAAAAATTGTGTAAAGTTTAAGAAAACATCGACAATAACAAAAGGAGACAATAGTCAAGTGAATTTGTGACATGAAACATATGGAGATAACGAACAGTAGTTAAGATCAAAAGTCTATAAAACAAAAAAATAGGAGCAGAGCAAACACGGAACTCCAAAATATCAGAGGTGGAATCAGGTGCCATGGAGGAGTGAGCATCCCCCGCTGACCGGTCACACCCGCCGTGTGCTCCTTGTCATGATCGGGAAATAACGGAAAGATCCGTCAATTCAGTGAATAAATAATGGACTAACAATTTGTATGAAAAATGTCAGTCAGCAATTGTGACTCAATGAAAAATTGTATTTGTTTACAGGGTCATTGTATCAATCATAGAACTTACGAAATGATGACTTTAAACGAGACTGCTGATATTCTTGTTTCATTAACTTGTTTGTCAATAATTTACCTCGTGTTAGAAAATTGTTCATACCTAAAGCATGCTCTTGCATATCGAATCAACTGAGATATATAAACTCTGAATGCAGGTGATGAAGGTATATTGCTGCATAAGTAAGGGAAGTTGACAATTAAAAAGTTAAAGTCATCATGTTTTGTTAGATTACCATTAACAGATGTGTCAGACTCTGTGGTATCTTTTACCAAGCTCAAGCTCACCAGGATATATTATATTGACATAAGAATGGAAATTACCATTGTTGATAGACAAAACATTATACATTGTAGATATATCTAAATGTCGAGTTGAATGCCACATCAAGTGTTTTCTTTCTTTTTTTTACACATAAAATTTTGCACTTATTCTGCCTCATAATGATATGAATACAAAAATAGGTCTGATAATAACATTTCATTTTTGGATGTCACCTTGACCAAAGCGGTTAATCATCTAATGGCCACTAACTACAAAACTTTATGAAAAAGTTAACAGGATTACATTAACTTAGCTGTTCATTGTGTAGTGAAGAAATTCAGTTATTTGAGATTATTTTTTCAAAATATTTCACCAAGGATATAGTTTTCTGCAAAAAAATGATAAAAACATATGAGAATTTATTACAAATGCTTCCAGAAAAGCAAGTCCCCTATACACTTTATAGAGAATGAAGAAAATTCTGAAGTGTTTCAGAAGGGTATAATTTCATGACTTCATGACTTCATTCAAAGTATCTCTACTTTATCTTTAAAATAAAAAAGATCACACTATACAGAAATCAATTTTGAACAACACTCCCTTCATATTAATATTTTATATATAAAACAGATCATAACTGAGTAACAAAAATAAATTTAAAACAAACAGTAAAGTAACATAAATTAAACATCAACTGTGGTACATTGTATTTTATGTGTGTTATAATTTTCAGACACTTCATCCTAATAACAATGTTCCGAACTAGAAAATATTTGGAGTTGAAATTTTATCATATAAAAAAAATTTGTCAGGCCACCTTTCAAATAATATTTGCTTGCCCTCTCCCAAATCAGGTTAAAATAATGGTAAGGGTGAATTTTTCTAAGAAACTTGCAACATCAGTGCTTTAATTTCAAAATCTGTCTAAAGATTAAATTAAATTTCATGAAGGTTAAAAAAGTTTTCAGTTGGGCTATTTTAGCCAGTCATTCAGATGAGGGCAAACAAACAATTCTACAAAGATGGATTCAAAGTGAAACTCATTGTAAACAATGTGATTTTCTAAGACATGTCATGCTAAAAACTGTTTTTATTTAACCAGTCTGTGAGTCATGATTCAATTAAACATTTTAGTCTGTACATTCTGTAAATGACTGCTCCTCCTTGTCATAACCAATCAACTTGTGATCGATACACAGATGATCAATCAGTTCCGTAAGCTCAGGTCGAGGTTCTGGCATCAAATTCAGGAGATTGACCAATCCCTCCTGACACACACACCGCCATTTCCTGATCAAATCCTCCATCTTCTCAAGGTCATGCTGCAAAAACGAGAACATTATTAATCCCATGTCGTTATTCCAACTAGTAAATCTGCACATGTTTGTATATAAAAGTCACTTACCTTGTTTTGGTAAAATTGAACAAGCTTGAGTTTTCGTAGGACATCTTCCCTTTCTTTTATCATTGATTGAAGTTTACTTTTCTCCATATTTTGTGAATCCCTTTCAATATTTGAACTGGAGGAGATATTACTTCCACAGGATTGATCCTTTGAGAAGTCTAATTTCTGTGGTTTAATCATGTTTACCATAGCACCACTATCCCCACTTTTAGAATCATGGCTACCAAGAATTTTCAAGTCCTTATTGTCAGTAAAACTAACACTCTTTGCAAATTGCACCTCTGACATTGTACATGAATTCACAGGATAACTTTGATCAGCATTATGACTGATGACCATGCTTTTTTGTAAATCACAGTTTTCTTTTTCTAGAATTTGTCGGGATTCTGACTTATTAGAAGATACCAGAGATGGGGGGTTGAAGTGTGTCCGGCTGTGTGTATTCTGTCCAGATAGGGGAGAGGAGTGGTAGCGTCCACATCGCTTCAATCGCTCCTTCAATCCAGAACTCATCTGCCATCACCAAAAAAAATTGCTAATGGAGTTCATGTAGACAGAATAGGTCAAGTTAAACAATACATGTTACAGGATTAGAAGCTGAGGAAGGGGATTTTGCAAACTCTTTTATGAAGTGAGAGGTCTGTGGACCTTAACTTTCACCTGTTTACCATCTTTTTCAAAACAAACCCATCTTGGCCCTATCTCAGAAAACTACTGTTTTTTGTGCAGAGATTTTGAAATATCTAAACCTTGAACCTTGAACTCACATTTCTAGTAAAGGGTTTATAGTTCATAATCATGCAGAGCAAGTCTTTGTATAGAAATGAAAATGGTTAGCTTCAGTCTGAGACCTGAACCTTGGGTTGGGTAATGAATTTCAAAAAATATTTAGTAAAGGGCTTGTTGCTCATGTTTATCATGCAGCAAGTCTACATTAAAATATTTTAATAGCATGACAAAATTTTAATATAAAAATTGATATATAAAGTTTAACTCAGATTCAATATTATATACAGTGTATAGTTAAACCTTGTTATCTAAAATTAGATTTAACTTTGAGATAAAATAAAATGAGGATTAAAGATTTACACTACGGTTAACAACCATACAGAAAAGATTGTTGGAACTAACAACTCAGTTTGACTTATCCCTAGGATTGAAGCTATCATGATCAATGTTTCAACATTATAACAAAGTTTTAAATGTGAGGATAATTATGAAATACTTAACTTAGTATTGATTAAAATCTTTCATATAAAAAGCAAGATAAAAGTTATGTAAAACTACATGTACCTGCAATGAGGGCCGTTGAGGTGTAGACTGCTTTTCTTCTGTCATAGTACCAACACCTAAAATTGAATTAAACTCACTTTTAGAATTAAGATTTATTAACATGAATGACAAAAATAACTTCATACCTGCCTTGCTGCAGTGTTTGAAACTCACTGTAAAATTAGCTAGGCATGCAGGGCTGACTGCTAGTGAAAGTTGTCAGCCTTGCCAAAAATGTACTAGCCCGAAAAAAAAAAAATTGCTTTTATAAGTTCGTTTTAGCAATAATGTGAATGGGGCCAGCTCACCATAAATTTGATCCCGGGCCTATAGGCTACCCGTTTGATTGTTACACTTTGTGACCAGTAATATTAGGCCAAAAATAAAAATAGTCTTGTTTCCTGCTACCCGACCTACCCTATTTTTCTGCACCCGACCCTAAAGTTTTTATTTAGTTTTTGAGGGAAAATCAAAAATTTCATGATCCAAAAGTGAAAAAAAATATACATTTAAGTGGTATTTCATGAAATATATATATTTTAAATATGGACTTGCATGAAACACTACTTATTTTAAATGATGACATTGACCAATGACCTGTTTAATTTGGTTTTGTAATAGTTCATATCCAACAAATACCACTGGAAAAAATAAAATAAAATAAAAAAATAAAATATAATTTTCCGACCTACCTACCCTATTTTTTTTCAGGCTGGTAGCAGGAAACAAGACTATTATTTTTTTTGGCCTTAGTAGATTTAAGAGTTTTATCAAATATCTGAATTTTAATTTATGGAAAATTTTACACGTCCAGTCCGGTGCCAATACCTGCAAATCTGTTCGCCTATGACAAAATTTGAGCGTCTGGGGCGGTCGGGTGCATGGTTATTTCAATCAATGCTTGTTGTGAGAATTCAATCAGAGACATGAATTTATTTATGTCTCTTTCAATAAATCATTCATGCCAAAGAACATGAAGAAGTCCACGAAAATTAAGCCACAGCGAAATGTAATGATTCCACACTGTTTTTTTTTTCTACAGGTCAACGAAAATCACTATATTTAGCTATATAGCTTAATTTACCTATATAGCTTTATTTACCTATATAGCTTTATTTACCTATATAGCTTTATTTACCTATATAATATAGCAGCTAATTTAACAAAGAAAAGCAGTTTTGGTCAACAAGATAATTGATAATAATATGCACAATGCAATGCAATCACACTTAGTCATGCCTCATTGCACTTTCAATGGGGGACAGCTATCCAAACAATAGAGATGCATTTTTTGGTTAAAAGGGGCAATGTTTTTACTATATATGCCCTAGGTTGGTTTTATCAAATCTTTTTAAAAAAATATCAGCCATGATGCGACTTTTTGTCTGCTTTTCATAAAACAGAAACTTATTCTGAAATAGCTAAATAAAGCTATATTATATAGGTAAATAAAGCTATATATGTAAATTAAGCTATATAGCTAAATATAGTGATTTTCCTGGACCTGTTTATGGTAATGCAAACATACATATACAGATATTATATGCCTGAAAAGTTTGAACTGAATCTGTTGACGGCTGTTCGTGTGGGGGGAAAACTTAACCTGATCCACCTCTCCTTGTCGTAAATGTCAATGTATACAAAACATCTTTAAAGTACCAGGAAATAAACTTACACTTCGAATCGTCTTTTCAACTTAAACTTTTTGACTTTGGCGCATAAATCGCTGTTTAATATAGACTTTCTGTTATATAGCAAAGATTTGTGCAATCAAAACATTTCTTTCACCTTGCTTAGATGCGTCGAATAACCCAAACAGATCCAAATACACAAATATGAAAAATATACTGTCTTCTTTTAATTTAAATACAACAAAAGAATAGAATACAATTGTTTTCAATATTACAATAGGGAAAATCATTTTTATTTCTTTAAATAAAGAATATTTAATGAAATAACTGTAAACAGTTTATGGACAGGACACATCGATATCTGGACTAAACATGTAAATTGAAAAGATGTATGTATCAAGAACAAGAAAGATACTTCAGTTTTTATAAATACTCCATATTTATCATTAAAAAACAAGAATCCCTTCATGTAAATTTTCATTAGGGTCTACCATATTTACTGGGGTAAACAGGTGTACCCTAAAGAAATAAAATCTGGATTGATTTTATCCGGAAATATTTATGCTGCTTTTAGAAAATAGAACATTATCTATAAGGAAATTCAGATTGTGTTTTTGATTAATTTATCATCAAACAAACATACACTTTTTTGTCCATAAATTTATTTACAATTATTTTTCTTAGAAGTCAGTGTATTAGCATATTTGTGGTTCCTTCCAGATGATTTTGTTCTTTATAATTTAACAAACCGGAAGTTGCAGATGATGCAGGATTGTCTAGACTGTTAACTCTACTTCAAATTACGTATGTAAATTTATTGAATAATGAAAAGATTTCGTTTTCAGGGATGAAGCTTTATTGAGCATTTTTCTTCACAACCCACCGTAATTGATAACATTCCAGGGGCTTAATAACCCTTGCATCCCCTGAAAAATTGGGTGAAAATTCCCAAATAACACTTATAAAAAAAATAGTAACTTAGACTGATTTATTCAAAGCTTTTTTTTTTAATTGAGAAAACTTGAATTTTGAGATTTGAATGATTTACAAAGATATGAATGGGGAATAACATTCGACAGTAAAGCTTTAAAAGAAGACATCAATATCACCAAATTTTCCAACTTCGATTGAATATTCCCAATGGAAAAGGTACAGACTACAGGACCCCGTACCAATTCATGTCAATTAATCCCTGCATTCAAGATTGCTATGAGGCCAGGGACCTACGACAGGTCCTGTATATTACATGTATATCTATATTACTAACTATAGATGAAATAAGTTTGACACAGTAGATCACTAGATTTTTGGTAGAATTAAACTTTTTTTTTACCTCAATTTATTTAGCTATTAAACTTTTTAATTTTTCTTTTTATTAAAATGAGACAAAAAATTGTTATTAAATGACTATTAATATTTATACTAGGGAGGTTTTAAAAAACAATCCAAAGCAGAGATAGTTTTGCTACGATTGGACAATTTGGAGCAAAACATGTAATTCCATTTTTTTTTCCTCTCTATTGGATGCGGTGAGTAAAACTTTAACATTGTGCTGACTAATTACCGATGTTATCATGTTACCAAAGTTTGTCAATTCATTCAAGGAGTAACTGTTTTAACTGTCATGCATAGCCCCAAAACTTTCAGAATTTTGATTGCAATTGTGCAGAAAAAGACAATTCTTCAAGAGTGATTTTTACATGAATTGTTTTCAGATGAGTTCAAAGTTGAAAATGATCACTGCATCTAAATGAGACTTTCTGCATATCCTGAGAAAAATGCTTTTTTATATAAATAAATTGATTTGGTAGCTAAATAAAGCTACCTCAGGTAGGTATAAATAAAGCTAAGTAGGTAAATTAAGCTATGTAGCTAAATCTAGTGATTGTACCAGACCTGATGATTACTTCACATTGTGCTGAATTTTTACCAATCATTTATCTCATGTTGTTAACCAGAATTTGTCGTCTTCATATTATAATATCTCTTGAGAGGTAATAAATACGTGAAAGATAGCCAATGATATAGACATAACTTATTCACTGTATGCTAAATTTAAGTCCTTTTAAATTCACTTTTAATAGTTTTATTCTTGTCTTTCAGCATGAATCAAGAAGCTGGTGCAGATCTGAAACGCACACATGGACATGCAGTGTTGTTACGAAAAAGCTCATCAAGTAAAATGGCTCTGAAGGAAAAAGTTGTCCAAATATATGAGTCTTTCTTCCAGGTTCATTTATATTTTAAATTCTTTATTTCTTGAATATTTTATAAATTCAAATATTGTAATATGATCAAAAGTTTGAAAGATATAGATTTTATCTTAGTTAAAATTGTTGTCAAGAATTGAACTCATGTTCCTTAGGGTGAAGACCCTTCAGTGGGAAATCCTAACTTTTGGGATGAATTTTTCTTGCTAAGGGTAAGTTTATCATTATTTCTTACAAACAACTCTAATTTTTTCAACTTTATTTGTTTATTTTTTGCATAACTTATGTAGACATTTTTTTAATTCATGCTTTATTCTCAATTTACAGCCAAATATTCCATTCATTGAGGGTGAATTTGATAAAGTCAGTGGTGAAGGCCTAATGATGTTGAAGGTATGAAACCTCTGCAACACATTTTTATTTTGTTGTTAGAGTTCTAAAAGGCCTATTTCACCTTTGAAAAATATTCTTTTTACCGGTAACTATTATAATAGTGCAATTTACTTTCAGGATAATCTAAACACCCTGTTTTACAAAGCAGTAGAATCTCTGAAGGAAGATAATGTCATCAGAGTAGTTAATGCTATTTATGTAAGTAAAATAAGAAAGTTTGAGTTCATTTAATAAACTATTTTGACTGTTTCAAATCAATGTCATTTATGGTAAAAACAAGCATTGATTTAAAGTTTGTATTATTTACAACATTTTGAATACTTTAAAGCATTCCTTTTTTTAAATTTCAGACAATGTCTGCATTAGTACGTGGAATATACAGAAAGAACTTTGGAGGTTTTGGCTTTGATGTTATAAATATATTGATAGGCTTTGATGCTGCAGAAACAGTCATGCAGGTTATATTTACACCTTTAAGCTCTTATTTTCATTAAACAAAATGTTAACAAACCAAAAAATGAAAAAGAGCTTTTTAAAATATGTACATGTATATATTACATGTATATGCATATGGAGGGTTACATATTGATCAATAAGACAATCTTGTTGATATTAAAGATGATATTTTTTATTTTGTTATTAACAGGAAATGGTGGAAAATTTGAATAACATCCTAAATGGAGAGTATCCAACTGCAATAAAACAGCAAGTTCTTAAATTCATCATGGTGTTAGCCACAGTAAGATCTGAATTTATTTATTTTAACCATATAAAGCCATCACAATAATGAATTCTCATTAGCAAGCCTCTTATTATCCATCTGTAGGGTTAAAGGGATTTATATTTAGTATCCCTTATATTTAATAGCAGATTTAAAAATGGGTACATGTACTAGGACTTGGATGTTTTGAAATATATAGCTTTCTTGTTTTAATGACTTAAATGGTTCATTTGATTTATGATGTCATGCAAAACTCTGGTTGTAATAACTTAAAATGGTATATGTCAGAACTAAAGCAATGTGTTCCTTTAAATTGATTTTCTGAATATCCCTGCAATATTCACTGATAATACCATTACTTTATTCTGCAGGCTTCAGACAACATCAGTCAGAATACACTCCTGGAGTACCTCATGATCAACAGTGTGTTTGAATCTATCATCCAGGTATAGAACCATTAAAGATTTTATTCATATATTTATCATCCAGTTATAAAAATATCCAAGGGTTCATTTTTTATATACATGTAGTTGATCAAGAGATTATGTCTGACAAAGATGATCTGTAAAAACTAATAATAACCAAAGTAAAACATAAACATAGTTTTTAAAAAATACCTGAATCTGATTCCAGTTTTGTATTTGTTGTAATAAATGAATTGTATGTCCAGATTCTGGGTAATGTTGACCTGAGGCTGGTACTGGGTGGCGATGCTGTACAGGTTCTTACTCTCTTGGTTCAGTACAGGAAATACGAGGTAAATATCACCTAACATTCTAAACTGTTACTTAACATGGAAATATATTGACTTGTGTGAAAATAATTGAATATGTCTTATAAACAAAGTATGTTTTTCACCTGTTTTAAATATTATTTCTTTCAGTCTGCAAATCCATATATTGTGAAGCTGTCTATATTGGATGATGAGTTGGCTTTAACAGTGAGTTATACTACATTGTAAAAAAATATCTTACATGAAACTAAACTCTTCATTAATCTTTATATATCAGGCCAGATATAATTTGAAAACCAAAAAGAAAATATAAAGTAAACCATGGGTTTAAAAATTGTTATGATATCTTTAATACATGTGAAATGATTTCTTTCATATCTTGCTTCTTTTTGATTTTGTAGGGATATGCCCAGGTCGTTCTCGGGGCTTTATCAGACTTTAACAGGTAACAAAAACTTTTTTTTAACCAACATTATATTAGATATCATAAAAAGGGATTATTTGATTAATTCATATTAATAGCATATATGCCAATGATATCAAGTTCAGACCTTTGATTTTCCTACTGATGCCATTCATAAAAGCTGACTTTATGTGCTTTGTTTAGGGAGTATCAGTGCCGCAGTACTGAGGCACAGCCAGGATGGTTCTCTGCTTTTGCCAGTATGGTAAGTTGTTTAGACAAATTTATTTACTTGAGTTCTAAATGATACATGGCTCTGGAGTCAGAAGGTCTACATGCCCTTGCGTAACAATTCGGAGGCATGTGTCACGCATTGTGTGCATGTCATCCCCAGTCATCATTCTATAGAACCAGAAGGTATCATTAAACTGTTGATTGGTTCATTCTTTCTTATCAAGATTTTATGGTGTGTGTTTTAATAATCATTAAGAATTTAGATATAACTGCATTAAGATAGTATTTTTGCCATAAATATGAAATTTTCCATTTATATTTATGCTTTTGTTGGACTAAAACATTCACCATTAAAATTATTGTATAAAAAATTTACTGAAATTATATAGAATTTTGAAGAAATTCTTTGAGTTGAGAATAGTTTTTTTTTCTGTGTGAATTGAGTATTTCATTAAATAAGCTTTGGACACATATTTTTTTCATCCACATTTTTTGGCAGCTTAACTTGATATTAACATTAATAGTTCTTGCTTGGAAATTTAAATATCAATACATGAATCAATATGTGTTTCTGGTGAAAAAGATTAAGGGGAAGATTTATGCTTTTTATGATTTTTGTATTAGTAAGGGAAATAACTCTAATTCACATACTTCTTGAACATTTCAGGCAGGCTTGGGGTCAATTACTTTGAAATGTAATTAATTACTTTCAAATACATTGATAATTTTGTCAATTACTTGCAATTACAATTACATTGACTTTTTCAGATGTAATTAATTACTTTCAATTACTTTGACAAATGTAATTAAATACATTTCAATTACTTCTAGTTTTACTTTAATAAAAAAAAAGATTTTTTTTAAATAAGATTTTTTGTATAGCGATCGAATTCGAACTTTCATTCAGTGTTTTTCTTCTTGGGTATGATAGGGGTTCACACCTGGTCAAAATTAGACCTTTACCTTATAATGAGTGTGACACACTGTGTAAACAAATTAAACATTATGAGACAATTAATTATTGTACAAACACAAGCCCATGCTACACCAGTATGGTGTATGTCAAGATCTTTTTTGTTACTTTCTGAAATCCATATTTTTTAAGGAAATAAATAATATCTATCACAATTCCATTCATTATTTTCTATCTTAAAATAAATAGAATTCAGGTAAATCTAAAAGGGGATGTAGTTAGTCTAATTGCTGTAAAACAAATTTACTACCTAAACAATCATTGTTATTTGCAAGTGGGAATAGGGAGAACTGAGATTTTTAAAACATGGGAATAAGAAATATAAACCCACCAGTATAAAACTATAATGTATCAGTATAAGACACATTTTTAAATATAAACTTTCATTTTGAAAAAAAGTAATTGAAATGTAATTGAAAAGTAATTGAAAATACATGACCTTTTTTGAAATGTATTTAAATACATTCAATTACTTGTAATTGAAGGCTCGCTCAAATACAAATTACTTCCAATTACTTTGAAAAATGTAATTAATTACACTCAATTACAATTACTTTATTCAATTACCCCATCCCTGATTTCAGGTTGGCAATATGTTTGTAGCTGACGAGAAACATGTAGCAGCAGTGAGGTAAATAACCAAGCATTATCTTTAAAAAAAAATATGATATATAGATTACATGTAATTAACAAATCTGACATTAAATCTGTTGTTTGAATTCATAGAACTCAAGAATTCATATACAGCACAATATCCATAGTCGAATAAGTGTTAAATTTTGACATATAATTCAATTGACAGGTATACATTGAAAACTCAAACTAAGTATATATTAACAATCAAAATACTTAAAAATTTAAAAAGAAATGGATGATATGTGTGTTGTGATATCAAAAAGATTTCTATTTTTTGCAGAGCAAATGATTTGGTGCTATTGGCTTTATACGAAGCAATTCATTTAAACAGAAATTTTATCACCGCTTTAACACATGTAAGTCTGGAAAATTATGCAATTTATGTTTATTAAGAACAAAAGTTGTAGATAAAGGAAATTTATGGTGGTTTATAATTTTTGTCTGTCTATATGATTTTTGATGTGAGTGGGAAATCCTCCTCACAATGTCAGGGATCCTGAGTCTAATGCCTGTTTGACATCAAAAGGCAATGACTTAGATCTCCTGGCTTTGTAAGGATGGGGAGAAATAAAGTGGCTCAAAATTTGGATTCTGTATGTAAGGTGGTTGTTTTCTGCAAAATTAATATTTTGAATCAATTCATGAAGTGTTGTTTGTTGCAATTTTCACTTCCGGAATGCATATACAAAGTATACAGTCAAACCTTATTATATTGATCTCAATGAATCCATTAAAATTGGTTAAAATATGTTTAAGACAACTTGGTTGTAACTTCAGTTTTACTTTGAAGTATCTATGTATTCTTGAAGAATGAAGTATCTGGCATTTTACTGAATGTAGCTTAATTTTCAAAAAAATCTTTAACATTGCAAAAATAAAAGAGCAGCAAAATATCTATTTTGAATTATATATATGTAAGATGGATTTTATTTTTGTTTGACCAGACCCACACACCATCAACACCTACCACGCCCCCCTCCTCCCCGACAGTGCCCATGTCCAACCCTCTCAATGACCCAGCCCCTGGTAAGTCAACAATACAAGATTTGCTGTCCCTCTCCACTTAATGTATAAATAAAATATACACTGTACAATATAAATTAATTATCTGTTAATACATGTATTACTTAAGACAAGCAAAAAATATAAACATCTAAAGGAAAAATTTATTTCTTTTTTTCTAATATCTATGTAGCCCTGCAAAATATAGACAAAGCCCTGTTGGAGCAGTCAAGTCACCCTACAAATTTATTGGTGACATTTTTGGAGTACAGTTCTATAGTCATGCAGGATACAAAAGGTAGGCATGAAACAGCAAAAAGTGACTAAAGAAATTCTTGCATGTCACTGAATATCCCAGTTTTATGTCGTGGCTATTATATAAGTCTAATAGATAGATTAGAGGGGAAAAAACAAAATGTATAACTTTGAATATAATATAAAAATCAAAGTACAATGGACATATATAGTAATTAAAACCCTTTTTTATATCCAGATGAAACAAGACACAGCAATGCCAAACTTTGTCTAGTCATATTAACATGCATTGCAGAGGTGAGGGAGAAGAAATTAATCCTGAATTTTTCTCTTACTGTAATTTTTTCCAATAATTATGCCAGTGATATTCATCTTTCAATTTATTACTTAAATTTTAGGATCAGTATGCCAACTCCCTGATGCATGATGTCAACATAAATTTCAGAGTCAAACTACACAGAATGGTTTGTTTTTTTGTTTTAATTCAAATGCTTAATAATACATCTGTAAGATTACACACTCAACATTGGAATCCCTAGGAAAAAACATTGTGTTCTAGAGAAGATTTCAAATAAAAATGCATTTACAGTCTTTCATATAAGTGGAGAATACCACCTATTGAATAATTCAAAATTTTGTAAACATGAGTCAATTAATATTTGATACTTTCTGAGAATGAAGTCTTTAGTATAGCTAGATAGAGAAGTGAAGTCATTAGAGAATAACTCTTTGACAGTTGATACTATATTGAAAGAAAATACAATCATATAACAAAACCTGTTTTAAAATCATCCAAAAACATATCTATAGTAAATGGTGTGATTTTATACAATATATTAGATTTACCTTATGCATTAAAATAAGAATTATATGTTCTTTATTTTTTTCAGCCAATGAGACATCGGAAAGTGAAAGTAGAAAAAGATACTCCCTCTCGTCCCCTTGTTTGTGCTCTTTTAGGTAAAAATTATACAACAATCACTAAAAATCGTGTTCTCTTGTTAAGTATGATACGCTAACTTGCCAAAATAAATATCTTCCAAGGTAGCTCTTTGATTTTGTTATTACAATACAGTGCTTAGATAAATTTACCAATCCCTGAAAGTTAATCTTTCATACACCATTTAATTAAAATGATTCCTTATTAAATAGCTATAAAATTTGACCAGTAAAATGGAATGTAGAAAAATCTTGATGTTTGAACCATGGCAGGACTTGCAAAATGCCTCAAGACAACTCTGAAAGTTTTGGAAAAATAAAGGGCTAGAATAATACATCAGAATATGTATGGTTTGATCAGGAGACTATCAAATCATTTGGACAACTCCCCAAGTTTTAACATGATGTTTACCTTGATTCATATGTATTTCAGATTTAATGGTTGAATTTATAATGAGCCATATGATGAAATCCTTCCCTTTAGAGTTGTACAAGTAAGTCTTCCATTGGAGATTTCTCTGACACTATAGTTTTCTTGCTCTGCACTCTATGTAAATATTTTATCTGTTTTAGTCGATGTTTGGGAATCACGCAGCGGGTCCTGTGCTACCAGAAGAAGTGTCGAGTTCGACTTCAGTATCCATGGAAAGAATTGTGGACAGGTTAGTCTCCAAGTGATCCATTATTACTCGGTGGTTAATACGCACTGCATGGTTTTTTTTTTAATTTTTATTTTCTTAAGTATGAAATAGGGAACAGTTGGAAAACCTCTAAAGAGATTAAGGTGATGCAGTAATTCAAATGTTTTAATATCACAGGTCACCACCCATATGGAGATCATTTGCTTCTAATCTCAACGCTCAAGTTAAACAATTATACACTTTACAATCATTTTGAAGGGACCTATGTATGACTTTAATTACTCGGTAGTGTTGTTTTACAATGATGCCATAGTAGAGTTTTATAATGAAGCTGACTGCCTTTTCTTATTGCAGCTCTGATCAATCTTCTGAAGTACCTGTTGTCCAACGAGTCCAATCTCCTAAAGAAGCATAATAATATTTTCCATTTGTCCTCAAAGGTAATGATTTAAAGAAATTGTAGACAGACTTTTTGTTTGATTTGTTGTAAGTATTTTTTTTTCTTCTTTTTTGCTTAGTCTGAAACTGAATATCCTAAGTACATGCAATGCTCATTTATAAAAAGAAGTCAGTTTTAAGGAATTAATAGTGTTTGTACATCTAAACATTTAGATTGTGAACATTTTCAACTTGTTCATCACCTATGGTGACACTTTCCTGCCAAATCCTAACAGCTATGATGAACTGTATTATGAAATCATCAGAATGCACCAAGTCTTTGACAACCTCTACTCAATGGGTGAAAAATTAATATAAGAAATTTTAATAGTGTTTTATGAAAGTGAATAGCTGATTTTTTCACAATATTATTCTGACTCATGTATTGGTTTTCATGTCTATTAACTTTTCATTTAGCTCTGAGGTACACTACAAGTGATGGAGAAAGCAAGGAGTCAGCAGCGAGATTAACCAATCATCTTGTCAATATCAAGTAAGTTATGACAACTAACCATTGTGTAATGCTAAATTAATGCTTAGGCTTTCATTGAAATATTTTTCTTCATTAAATTTTACATTTATAAAGTCATGATATGAAAGTAAAATTAAGTAATGATATTGCAGATCATGTTTATTCTAAAAATGTTTCTATGTTTCACGTTGACAGGGCCATCATCAATCACTTCTCTCCTAAGGTGGATTCCTGGGCGGCCGCCAATCAGCTCTCCTCCCTCACAGAGGAACAGGTATCAATATAAAAACAAATAAACTCAGGTATTAGTAGAGGTGTCTGTATAAAAACAAATAAACTCACAGACCATGTGATTGAATGACCCTTAACCCTTTGTCCTACTTCCTGTAGGTTCTGGATGTCGTGAGAGCAAACTATGACAGTCTGACATTAAAGTTACAGGACAGTCTGGATCAGTATGAGAGATACTCCGAAAAACCAAGGGAGAGTGCATTCTTCACAACTCTGGTAAGAATTTTGACTTCCTATGGCCTGTGTATTCAAATAATACAGATATGTTCCACAACAAAAAAGTCATACATGTAAACTCACATATGTTTTATGACAAAAATGTCACATGTTCCCACAGCAACAAAAAAGTCATAAACATACATTGTCCTATGCACATATTTCATTGTTATATCACTTTCAGTAGTGTTATCTTATTTTTCTTTCAAATGTTTAAAGGTGCTTCATATACCATTATAAAAAAATTCCTTTGTTAACAATCTACAAATATGATGAATAGACAGTGCTATAAATGAAGTATTCAACTGAACATTACAGGTACGATCTGTGGTGTTGGATGTGAGGAAAAGTGTCAGTAATCTGGCCCAGTATCATCACCATGTGTTACAGAGTGTAGCCGAGATGTAAACAGGTCGTCAGACTTACGCGTAATAGAGATCAACTGGTTGCAAACTAAGTGATGCAGGAAATAAATTCATTTCTTATTTATAAAACTTGTGTACAATCCCACAGATGTGAGGTGAATTTTTACGTACGTTTTACACAAGTTTTTGCCTTTATTTTCAGCTTTAGGAATTTTCATCTACAAAGATTATCTTGACATGTACAATGTACATGTACAATTAATCAGTTATTTTAAAAACTGTTGTCATATTAAAGTCACGTTGGAGGGGCTTTATAAGAAATTTTCAAGAAAACAGAGGGTTTTTTTGAAAAATGTGTAAGGATTACAAAACATGTAGATTGATGTATTTATTCAATAGTATTCAATATTTGTTACCTTTATGCAGTTATTGATGCATTTGTTACCTAATAAAGTCACATAGTAGGCATAGAAAGGAGTGATATGTGCAATTTTATAAAGCACTTTTTGTGCTTACTAATGATTGCACCAAGTACAGAGAATTATAATCTGCAACTGCACAAAAATGTCTAAATAAGTGTCAAACATTGTAAATTACAGTAGTAGATGTACTCACAGTGAGGCAGTCAGATGTGTATTATATAGTACCAATGGGCTTTCAGCACTGGGTTTTTTTCTGTCTTATTGTATGCTAGCTATATGTACAGTATGTGGGTATTAAAAGACACTTTTTATTGTTTTGTTTTTTTTTCAAAAGGGGTTTAATTGCAACTTCTTTTTTTTTCAATAAAAACCCTTAACTTGAAGTTGATACATATTTTTCAGAAGGGGTAGTGTTTTTCTTTTCTATTCTATGTATATATAGATGAAATCTATGTTTCCAGTGATTTTTTGTGGGATCCTTGTATCGATTTGAAAAATGTGTATGCCTTAGCTAATGCATGTAGGGGTACAAATGTTATGTATGGCTATGTGATGTTGACAAGAAGAAGAAAAAGTAGCATGTATTTAACAACATGTATATTTATTTAAGTTCTAAATAAACTTGGCATTAAAATTTCAAACACAAAGTTTGTCAATTCAAACTAGAAGCTCAAGGGCCTTAAGGATCACCTGAATGCAGTACCATCCTGTAAAGATTAACAGAATGGAATTTTATAAATTTATGACTAAATACACTAAGACCGCGGAACATTAACTGGCAAGATTGGAAATATGCAGCTTATGTCATTTCTATCTGTTACAATCAAAACATTCAATGATAGACAATGAAATGGGTGGGTACAATTCGATGCAGACGCGGGGAAAACATTGGATTGAAATTCTAGTTTGAAATTCATTTTCAATCCACCTCAGCTACACTAGAAGGCATATTAATACTGATTGACCCAGAGAACAAATAGTTTGAAAATAATATAGAAACCGGAATTTTATGTCCAGCGTTTTAAAGGAATATATGAAGGGACAGATATTTGATTTGGTATAACTTATGCCATGTACATGTTATGTGTGCGTTTGGGGGGGGGGGGGTGGTAATTATCTTGGAAATAAATAAGAAAGTTGTCAACATTTTTCATTGAAGACAAAACTAAAAAAGCTCGTCATCCTAAAAATTATTTGGTACAATGCTTGATCTGACTCGACAAATTTTGACCCCCCCCCCCCCCCCTTCTAGAATCATGGCAGTCTCCTGAAAAAATGTCTTTTATGACTTTTACAAGTGTCTATAAGAATATATTATAGGCTCTAAACTCATTATATACTGACACGCAAAAGAAACGCAACACCCTACTTTAGGGGTAAATAACTATGCAAAGTAAAGAATTTTGTATCTTAGAATTAAGAATATCTTCAATTTGGTAAACATCGGTAATCTAACGGTTGAACGATTTCCATACCATAACCGGAAGTCAAGTTTGAGTCTGCTTAACAGAAATCAAAAATTGCATGTTTAACAAAACATTTCGCAATATTATGGAGTTTTAAAGGTTTTTCACTGTTCATCATAAGTAATGCAGCATTATTTCAAAAAAATAAACTCTTCTTTTGTTTCTCGTAATGATGCTAAGGCTACTTGAAAATGGCCTATGTACGCATTTCCATTGCTCTAACTGGAAAATTTCAATGTAAAGGTGATGGAGAATTGCTGATGCGAAATTTCACTACATTACACCTAAACAGGGTCTTACATATCATATTCATTAAGGAAAGCCCTAGTACCGGAAATCCAAGGGTGGCTACACTGCTCTAAGTTAGAGAAAATTCGATCTAGTCATCTGAAAAACGGGCATTTAAAATGCCAAAGAATATTTCCTTTGCTTAGATCTCGATATTAATGAACCTATTGTATCGTAGAAATTAAGCTTCAATCGTTGTTTAGGGCAGTCTTGCACGTTTTACATTAATGGCTGGGAGGGGGGTGTTTTAACAGTCATATTTTACTTAGTAAAGTAAACAGACAAATATTTAACATTTTTATCAAATCTCTATGTTCTGAAAAGTGAGTTTAGCCTTACTTTATTCGCTTTTGAATATCATAAGATAAAAAAATCAAACATTTGTAGATTACTGCTTGTTGCGTTTCTTTTGCGTGTCAGTATAGTATAAATTTCAACCAACATGTATTTGGGAATTGAAGTTATATTTGTCTTTTGGATCATACATTCACACCTTTGCTTTTGAAAACAGCTCAGGTGGATTGAAAATGAATTTCAGTCCAATGTTTTCCCTGCGTCTGCGTCAAATTGTACCCACCCGTTTCGTTGTCTATCATTGAATGTTTTGATTGCAGCAGAAAGAAATGACGTAAGCTGTATATTTCCAATTTTGCCAGTTAATGTTCTGTGGTCTTAATAGATGAATATAACTAGCACAGAACAAAAGAAATTGGATAGGGCCATCTTTAAAAAATTGTTTGGTTGCCCTCTCCAGACTGACTTACTAAAATGGCCCGACTCAAAACTTTTTTTTACATTCTAGGACACAATATATCCATCTTTTTATTCCTCTTATTCCGTCAACAAACATGTTGAAAAAATTTCTGGAAAAAAGCTTGTCCCTCCTACCTATCGACCAATTAATTTTACCCCAAGTTGGAAGAGGGCAACCAAAGATTATTTTAATGATGGCGTAATGAAAATATTTATTCTGGTAGTTAACAACCTAAGCTATTTAGATGCATGTGTGTGTCAGTGCTGACCTCTATCACCAAAACACACAGATTTCTTTCTGCATTAGAAATAATCAATACATATACTTATGTTTTTATTTCCTTTATTGATTTAGTAATTATCCCCATTCGTATTTTATAAAATAATGGATATATATCCTGGGGAAGTCGTTAAAGATGTCCTAATTTTTATAACCGTCTGTACAGAACATCAGCGGTCAGTCTTCCCAATTTTGCGTCCCCAGAGTTGAGTTGTCACGAACTGTACGAGTTGTTTTTCACTGATTGCTATAGTAACCAGAACACACAATAAACAGAGTCCTCCAATGATAATATGAAGGAGTCGGAACAGGTTGCCATAGCCACAACAGAAATAACTCTGAAAGAAAGAAAATTTATCTATAGTTCAAAAGATTGTCAACATGATGCAAACATTTATTCTATTAAGTTGTGTTTTATATGCACACACAATTTTGTGCATCATGCTTGTAACAAATGATCTTTATGAAGACAATTTTTTTTCTTTGTCATTGCAGTAAAAAATTCACAAACTTTTAGGACACCCATTTAACAGTTCTCATCCTTTTTATAAAGTGGGACCAAGTGTAAATTTGTAAATAAACTTATGACCCCTTCGATATTCTTATGACAAATCATAAAACCAAATTTCATTTCAATATGTGCAACCTCTGCAAATAAAATGAACGGAAACTGCAAAGAATCGTAATTTTTTTTAAAGTCCAAGGGGCATAACTCTGTCAAAATTTATTCAACCGTACCCAAAACAAAACTTGACCTAGATATTCTTATGATAATTCTATACCAAATTTCATTTCAATATGTGCAACTTCTGCAAAGAAAATGATCGGAAACTGATAGTGGACCGACAGATAGACCGAATGACAGACTGACAGGCTGACAGACAGCAGCAAAGCAATATGCCCTCCCTTCTTCAAAGGGGGGCATAATTATAGTGTACTTTATTATCAAAACATTTAGTAAATGTAATTCTGACACAGGTAAACTTTGGTATCTTGAAAACCTATATTAAGAATACCATGAACAGAGGTCCCAAGAATTTTTTTTTAAAATATATTTTAACCTCAACATCTTGAATCCTTGGATTCTCGTCCCCGTATGGTTTGAGATGACAAGGTTTGATTGTATGACTTACCTCTGACAAAGCTTTAATACAAGGCAGCAGCCAGTGATCTTACCTCTGACACAGCTGTAATACAATAGGCAGCAGCCAGTGATCTTACCTCTGACACTGCTGTAATACAATAGGCAGCAGCCAGTGATCTTACCTCTGACAAAGCTGTAATACAATAGGCAGCAGCCAGGATCTTACCTCTGACAATGCTGTAATACAATAGGCAGCAGCCAGTGATCTTACCTCTAACAAAGCTGTAATACAATAGGCAGCAGCCAGTGATCTCACCTCTGACACTGCTGTAATACAATAGGCAGCAGCCCGAGATCTTACCTCTGACAAAGCTGTAATACAATAGGCAGTAGCCAGTGATCTTACCTCTGACAATGCTGTAATACAATAGGCAGCAGACAGGATCTTACCTCTGACATTGCTGTAATACAATAGACAGCAGCCAGTGATCTTACCTCTGACAATGCTGTAATACAATAGGCAGCAGCCAGGATCTTACCTCTGAAATTGCTGTAATACAATAGACAGCAGCCAGTGATCTTACCTCTAACAAAGCTGTAATACAATAGGCAGCAGCCAGTGATCTTACCTCTGACAATGCTGTAATACAATAGGCAGCAGACAAAGCTGTAATACAATAGGCAGCAGCACGAGATCTTACCTCTGACAATGCTGTAATACAATAGGCAGTAGCCAGAGATCTTACCTCTGACAATGCTGTAATACAATAGGCAGCAGCCAGTGATCTTACCTCTGACAAAGCTGTAATACATTATGCAGCAGCCAGTGATCTTACCTCTGACAAAGCTGTAAAACACTAGGCAGCAGCCAGAGATCTTACCTCTGACAATGCTGTAATACAATAGGCAGCAGCCAGGATCTTACCTCTGACACGGCTGTAATACAATAGACAGCAGCCAGTGATCTTACCTCTGACACGGCTGTAATACAATAGGCAGCAGCCAGTGATCTTACCTCTGACAATGCTGTAATACAATAGGCAGCAGCCAGAGATCTTACCTCTGACAATGCTGTAATACAATAGGCAGCAGCCAGGATCTTACCTCTGACACGGCTGTAATACAATAGACAGCAGCCAGTGATCTTACCTCTGACAATGCTGTAATACAATAGGCAGCAACCAGTGATCTTACCTCTGACAAAGCTGTAATACAGAAGGCAACAGCCAGTGATCTTACCTCTGACACTGCTGTAATACACTAGGCAGCAGCCAGTGATCTTACCTCTGACACTGCTGTAATACAAGGAAGCAGCCAGTGATCTTACCTCTGACAAAGCTGTAATACAATAGGCAGCAGCCAGTGATCTACCTCTGACACTGCGGTAATACAAGGAAGCAGCCAGTGATCTTACCTCTGACAAAGCTGTAATACAATAGGCAGCAACCAGTGATCTTACCTCTGACACTGCTGTTATAGAATAGGCAGCAGCAAGTGATCTTACCTCTGACAAAGCTGTAATACAATAGACAGCAGCCAGTGATCTTACCTCTGACAAAGCTGTAATGCAATAGGCAGTAGCCAGTGATCTTACCTCTGACACGGCTGTAATACAATAGGCAGCAGTCAGGATCTTACCTCTGACATTGCTGTAATACAATAGACAGCAGCCAGTGATCTTACCTCTAACAAAGCTGTAATACAATAGACAGCAGCCCGAGATCTTACCTCTGACAAAGCTGTAATACAATAGGCAGCAGCCAGGATCTTACCTCTGACATTGCTGTAATACAATAGGCAGCGACCAGTGATCTTACCTCTAACAATGCTGTAATACAATAGGCAGCAGCCAGTGATCTTACCTCTGACAAAGCTGTAATACAATAGGCAGCAGCCAGGATCTTACCTCTGACACTGCTGTAATACACTAGGCAGCAGCCAGTGATCTTACCTCTAACAATGCTGTAATACAATAGGCAGCAGCCAGTGATCTTACCTCTGACAATGCTGTAATACAATAGGCAGCAGCCAGTGATCTTACCTCTGACAATGCTGTAATACAATAGGCAGCAGCCAGGATCTTACCTCTAACAATGCTGTAATACAATAGGCAGCAGCCAGTGATCTTACCTCTGACACAGCTGTAATACAATAGGCAGCAGCCAGTGATCTTACCTCTGACAATGCTGTAATACAATAGGCAGCGACCAGTGTTCCCAGGACTGGATAGGAGGGGATAAAGCCCTGCAGAGGTTTATATCCACTATCCTTGTAGTAGTTATGAATGAAATAAACACTGAAAAGGAAATACTAATTAAATTTACTCAATAGTCAATATCATGGTTTGAAATGTGAAAGGAGTTTCATTTACCAAGGAATGTGACGAAGATCTGAAGAGATTTGATGATCACATAATTCTAGTTGGTAAGGTAAATTTCTTTACTTCCCTTTTCCGTCTTTATACCTTTGAAGTATCCGACAGGCCATGTTGATGCAGTTTGCCAGTACGAATCCCACACTTCCCACCAGACGAGTCAGGAATAGAGAAGACACCAGTAGAATAATGGAGAACAGTAACATCTTATGGTTATAACTGTAAGGAACAGAGAAGACACCAGTAAAATAATGGAGAACAGTAACATCTTATGGTTATAACTGTAAAATACCATCAACATGTATTACAAAGAGGACAGAATCAGGCAATAATAACAAGATTTTTTTAATATTTAGACTAAAATATCTACTGAAATATACCAGGGTATATCAAAAGAATTTTCCTAACCTGTCAATCTCTTTCTTACTCATGACAGCAAAATAGAAGCATTCGGTTATACCATTAACTGCTAGCACCAATACATAGAGACAGTACCACCTTAGTAACAGGGGACCTGGAAAACAAGAGCACTAGCCATTATAAACTGCTGGCAACAAAACATAGAAACAAGTAGTATCACGTACCTCAGACAATACCAGAAGACTTGAAAATCACATAAAATCACCTGCAGTTGTGAAAGGTAAAACAGAAGACATGTATGATGTGATTTACTGTTTTACCATTTACAGCTAAATGTACAGGTAGCACAAAGGCATTGTGGTTCTCGCAAAATTACGCGATAATTAATTTCACACGTATATTTAGGAATCTACAGTAAGGGACCAGATTCAGTGGTTACCATACCTTGTCCTTTCAACATGATTTATTGAAGCCCTATTATTGACAGATCCTACTTAAGACAGGAGCTCTACAATAGCCCTAAATTTCTTAACCCCATCATGTTTTGGTCTACCAAAAAACTTACCAGTCCCTGCAGAGAGCAATGAGCCTCCATACAGATCTAAGGCCAAGAAAGCATAAGATTGGCCAAACACCAGGATGACAGAGCCAATCAGAGTCACTGTCTTCAACAGGTGCTCTAGGACGCTGGTCACTAAGTCTGCCGAGTCCTGAAACAGGAATAAAAAATGTTAAATGCACTGGACTTCAATGTTTATTTTTATTATTTCATTGTTCATACAAGCATAAAAATGACTGTATATGCATGTATTTAAAAAAAAAACATAGGGGGGTTCTTTTAGTGTTGTGGGTGTAAAATTTGTCATTTTACTTCCTTAAATGTATGCCAATATCAAAAGTTCATTAGACCCCGAGCTCTATTACATACTTCTAGTATTATATGCCAGTACTAAGCTTAAATTTTGTACCAAGAGAGAGGGATTATGCAAAGAAACACAAGTACCAAATTTGTGGGTTAAATGCAGAATCAAAAACTGCTAAAAGTATAGAGAGAACTGATAATTCCCCAGAAGAGTTTTCATGTTTATCAACAGATGATCAAAGTTATCGTTCTTCCTAAATGGTACTTGTACATGTAAATGCAAGAGTGCAAATTTACTTATTTAAATTTTTGTGACCTATTATACCAAATCTAAAATATTTAGACAAAGTCAGTATCTCACTAAAAAATCTCACTTTACAGTATCTATACATGTAACAGAAACTGTGTAAAATAACGTAAACTTTATTAAAATACTTGAATCATTTGCATTTTTATGTAAATATTTCTTTTCAGTCAAATTAAGGTAGTTATATTAGTACATTAACAATAGATTATACTATCTGCATGCTTCTACACTCAGAGAAAGGCTAGCTAATACAGTATTAACAATACATGTATTTCACTAAAGTACTGCACAATAACTTTGATCTAATGTTGTACATGTCAGAACCTACTTTGCTTTGTTGTCGAAGATTTTCGCCTCGGGCAAATGAACAGGAAAAAAAGAGACGACTGCTCTCTTCTATTGGAAGAAAAATAAATCGTGGAGCCATGGAACCCAAATTGTTAATGATGTCATACACTCCTACAAGCAAATGTAAGGTATGACTGGTCAACATGCAATCTCTAGTAGAAACAACTGTTTAGAGTCAATGATGCTTTCCTTTGCTTGATTGTAAAGGAAGTATAATATTGTTCAACATCTGCAATCATCTGCTGCAATGCAAGCAAGGATATTTCAGAGAAGAGTCTACTGCTCTTTGGGCTGACACTAACTTTCACTGAGACCTTCAACATAACTATTTATCATTTACCAAAGGACAATTTTCCTGCAGTGCAATGAGTGGATACATGTACGTATTGAAACAATAAAGTTGTTAAGTAATCTCATACATTTTACACAACATTTCACAATCTACATGCCTAAATATAAGACCTAGATACCATTGAGATGCTTAACATCTCTGAAAAGACCACAAGCAGTAATTTATCAAATGAGTTGGGTTGAAAGAGGCTTGTAAAGAACTGCATTTGGCAAAACTGCTCTTCTGAATGCAATTTTTACTTTTTAAAATATATATACCCCCTACAAATTTATACAAAAATTTAGACCTAAAAGGTCTCTCATCTGTTCAAATACTACATACTGTTTAATCAGGGTACATTGTACTCTTCAGGTAAAGCCACACTGTTCCAATGTCATAATTTTTTTTCTAAAAGTAGGTCAAATTTCAAGTGAAGGAGGTCAGAAATAACTGTTTATTTGGGAAAAAGTAGGTAAAACTTCCAAGGTGAAGTCAAAAGCTTGGAAGATACGAATCTTTTCTTATTCAGCTATGGCTATGGTTTAAATTTTTGTGACAGATATACTGACAGATGGCCAGCTAAACATGCAGACAAATGTGATTTATTGTCCCTTTGCTTAAGTGAAAGTGGGGACCCAAGAAAAATAATACTGAATACTGTACTTTATGAAAATGAAATGTTAGGAAAATTCTATTTATCCACAAGCACCTTGAGTATAAGAAAAGTATGTTTTGCAATACAAGAATACATTTGCTAACACTACAACTACTGTACAATATCATGGACACACAGCAGTATATACTTGTTTATTAATATATGGATGTCTCTAGTGCTACATTTATACATGTACAAATGTATGCATAACACATTGTAAATATTGTTTTTCAAATCTCTAAATACTATATATTGAAGTAACTCATGTTGTTTCGTTGGTCACAATAACACAAAAAATTATATACTCCTAGTCAACTACATGGCCTTGATAATTGATTTAACATTAAGTCAAGGTCATGCTGCATCTTTAAATCATCAGCATCAGCCTTAATTCAACATTTAATGTGTAACATCAAGAAAAGATCCAACCTTTCTGTTAAAGACAGGAATATATTTTAGTTTAAATAAAGCTTACACAAAACCAGATGTGTTTGTGAAACACTGAGGCCCCGTATGACAGCTGTGGCGAGGGTTGAACTTTCTCAGATGCGAGTCAAACTCCAACGTCAAATTATCAAAATTGTTTGTATCCAAATAAAGGTCTTATCATGAGGAATACATCTATGAAATATGAAAGCCCTGGTACTAACTGTTCAAAAAGTTATGGCCAAGGTTAAAGTTTTTTTAAAGAATGGGTCAAACTCCTAGGTCAAGGTAAAAAAAAAAAAAACAAAGCACTTGTCACAATGAATATATACAAATTAAATATGAAAGTCCTAGCACCAACAGTTTAAAATCTATGGCCATTTAGGTTAAAGATAGATAAATTTTGGTAAAAGTGGGTCAAAATCTAAGGTCAAATTTTGTGGTACCCAATAATAGTCAAGTCCTGTGAAATATGAAAGTCATAGCCCCATGCACCCACTCAAAAAATATGGGCAACGTTAAAGTTTTTGTGGACAAACATTTAAACAGACCAACAGACAGATGGACGGACAGGACAGAAACTATATACCTTAGAACTTTCTATTGCACTGTATCTGGCTCGGGACAGCTGTACATAGTCTCAGCTTGGTCTCATTCTTAATCCCACTACCCTATGCTTTGCCCCTTTCATTTAACTGTCATATTAATATCTGATTTATGCACACATCATGCACAATCATTCTTCAAGGTTTACCAATTTTTTTAACACAACATAAAACAAAGCATGTCAGGATGCAGAACGTACAGGTGGTTGTAAATGTAGGGGGAAACCTCGCAGGAGGGCTGGGTAGAAGAAATACTGAAGAGAATCGTCAAGTTCCCTAAACACCACACCTGTGTTATCTATGATATCATAATAACCTGCAAGGTAGACCAGTCACAACAATACAGGTAAACACACAGGTACAAAATTGTATTTTACATTTATTGTACAGTCAAATCTCACTATCTTGAACTTGTTGGGACCAAGGAAAAACTTTGAGATATCCAATGATTTGAAATATCGAGGGTAAAGTACTTAAAGATTAAGTGGTAGGGACTTCCAAATCAGCTCGACATATCCATGGTATTTGGGATATCAGTGTTCAAGATAATGAAGTTCAACTGTACTTGTAAAGGTATATACACATGATACTTCTCAACATATAAAATATGTACAAAATACATGTATTGGATTTCATTTTTCTACCCACTAAACTTAATACAGTTAAACCTCATTATCTCAAACTCAGTGGGACTGAGAAAAAAGTTATCAGAGGATTTGAGATATCTGGGACAAAAGACGTAAAAACATGTGGCTGGGACTTCTAAATTACTTCGACATACATATCCAACTTATTTGAGATACCTGTGTTCAAGATACATGTTACCAAAGCTCAACTGTAACTCATAACAAATGTGAAATTCATTACTAATAATAATACAAGGGCACCAATAATTGGAACATATTATTTATAAGTGTATACAAGTTTGCCCTAGCTTGCTTTCCTAAATACTTTGGTGGCATCGATATCTGAAACCTTACATGAATTTACAGGTATGATCTTTTTATTTACCTTGGTCTCCAAAGCTTAGGACCCCAAACACGGTCATTATGTATTTTTCACCTGAAAAATAAATCAAAAGAAAAAATTACTACTTGCTGTTCCCAATTAAAAATGTGGACATATTCTCTTTATTTTTTTATCACACTGATTTCAATACCTTCTGTCAATATCTGTTTGAAGATGGACTGCTTAAAGAAACTTCTTGTTAATGAAACTAACCGCCAATCAACAAAGGACTGAAACATGAGAAAAACTTTGTAAATTAAAATCGTAAATATTCAGCTTCAAATTTATAATCTACAAACTCTTCTACCTTTTAACTATGCATGAAAAACCAATTTCCTTTAGAAATGAAAAATCAAAAGAACCGAAGCTAAAAACATAAAGAAATTCTCATTTAGTGTCTAGATGTTTACCTGCTTGTGATCATTATTACTTACTTTATTGGGTAAAATCTTAGGGAAGAAGTCCCTAACAGACTGAAACACAAAGGATTCTCCTGTGTCCTCTGCCTTAATCATTAGATAATATACAGCATAATAAATGACTGAATAAGTAATGGCACTCGTCACCTAAAAAAGATTTTGGATTCACAATAAATATAGTTTCAAAACATTAACATTTATATTAACTAGAGGTACTGTGAGCAAACTCACAAAATTATTCCCTCAACTGCAATGTTTATAGTGCCTATTTGCAGTTTTGCAAATGTGACCTTCAACTTGCTAAAAGACCTTGGTTTAAAAAAATGACTTGTTCTCCAGTCATAAATGATCTTTGAGTGAAATATGAACACCCGATGTTTTTTTCAATAAAAAAATTATTAATCTGTCATGAATACTGAATGTTTTTTATCCAGCTACCTTGAACTTATGACCTTAAGTAAAGATTTTGAAACACCCTTAGGTCTTAAACAATCTTTGTACAAATAAGATCTTCTGATGATTCTCCATTCCAAAGTTATAGCCATTTTACATTTTTTTCAGCCAGTAAACTTGAAAAGATTCTATAATTCAAAGTCATAGCCTGAACAAATAATATACACTTTTTCTTCAATGGCCTTTTAACTTAAATTTGAATGATTATGGGTCAGATCATGATATACCCCCTGTGAATAAACAATATCTGAACCAAGGTTGCAAACTTAAAATAATTCTGCATTACAACGTCATTGTCCAACAAGTTACAAAGTTATATTGCCTAACAAGGTTTTTTAAACCTTTTTTTGCCAGTGACAAAATGACCATGGGTCAAGGTCAAGACACTTTCTCAGTCCAAAAACACAAACAAATAGAGTACAAGAAAACAGAAATCTAGTTCATTCCTATCTGTTAATGCCTAGTCTTATTGAAGGCTTGTCTTTTGCAATCTTGCCATTGCAACATAAACAAGTTTTTCTTTTACGATAATTCAGTCCAAACTTTGGCATGTATTTTCAAGATACATGAAAGAGCAAGGGCGGATTCAGGGGGGTTTGGGGGGGTTTTCCCGAACCCCCCCGCTCATTGATTTTTGTTTTTTTTACAAGTGTCATTTTATCATTTTGTTGCATTGATAAGACTCTAATAAACATGAACCCTTTGTTTGTACAACTGTGAAATATACACTACTACGTAACAGGAAATCGCTTTCCGCTTGAACGCACTCAATACACAGGTAATCAACAGAGAGAGTGCCTCAGACATCGGGTAGTCTGTGTATCTAGTGAAGTCACAAGATCACAGTACAATGTAATCAAGTACCAACAACAGAAAACTGCAAAGTTACGGTGCTGCTCAGTAATACTCTTTTGCTGATAAAAATGCATGTTTTTTAAACTATGAATAAACTATTATTTCCTATCTAGCTTGTAACACGAGCTTTGATTGGTTACAAAGTCGGGTGTAAATATCCGTGCACCCGACTTGGGCCGGGTGTAAATAAAACGTGACGTCACAGTGCATACATTCTCAATACGTAGTTTTCTAATCGATAGATTGAGACAGACTCTGATGTTTACAAAGCATTTTTATTGGTACAAAGGAAATAAATTCCTTATCCAGGTCCAATCAAGGGTGTACGGGGATTTACCCCGGGTTTTATTCCATACACCCTGAGGCTATCGATTAGAAAACTACGTATTGAGAATGTATGCACTGTGACATCAGAGTGTGTCACGTTTTATTTACACACCGGCCCAAGTCGGGTGCACGGATATTTACACCCGACTTTGTAACCAATCAAAGCTCGTGTTACAAGCTAGATAGGAAATAACTAATATTATACAGGGTTTTAATATAATTTTTTTTACAAAACCAGGTTGGCTTAGCAAACCCCTCTAGTTTTGACAGATTCTCCAGTTTATGTAAAGAGTTCTTTTTTCTTCATTTAGACAGTTTGAACTTTCATTAATTGTACACGTGTGTTTATATTCCAAATCATATTGACAGTATATACTCAAGTAAGTTGAAAAGCACAAGTTAGGGATTCTGAAAAGAATTCAATTTTTAATTTTTTTAGTGTTTAAAAATTAGTTGTATCTTGGAAGTCAGCTTGACATAGGACTAAATTAATTGTAGGTGCATTTAAAGTAAACTAAGACAACTTGAAGTCAACTGCTTGCATTCCTAAAATAGTCAGATTTAACATTTTTTTAAAGCAAAGTCTAAAGTCTTGTGTTAAAGTTAAATTCAATTGAAAACATTTTATCAAAAATTTGTGATGATCGGTCTTTAAAAAAGCTAAAAAAAAAAGTACCCCCAAAATGCTGGAAAATACACCATTTAGAAACATTTAAAACAAAATTTTCCCCCACCTATGGGAGGGGGACACCCCCTCCCATGCCCTCCCCCTTCGGCCCTTTGGGCCTCAAAACCCCCCCACATGAACTTCTGGATCCGCCACTGAAGACACATAGTGAGCACATAAGAAAGTCAACTGAAAGAAGTTTAAGAAAGTGAATATTGGAAATCCCAGCTATTGGTGCACTTAAGGAACTCCAGGCAGTATTCAGAATCTGTTAAACAATTTATGTGACATAACAGTGTGTATTTTTTCAGGGAGGATGCCTTGCTTCTCAGATCTGATAACAATCTGTCAGTTTTTGATCTACTTTTTTACCATTTTTTTTTTCTTTTTGTACATGTTTTTCACACAAAATCACTACTGAACAAGAGGCCCATGGACCACATTGCTCACTTGAGCACTTTGACTGAGAAATGCAAAAATATGTTCTGAAATAAAAATATAAGGGGAAGGCTCAGAGGTACTTGAATTTGAATTTTAAACTATAAGTGGATGTTTTCATATCAAAATAACAAAATACTTTGCTGTTCTTGAGCAGCAGATTTTTAAAAGATTTTTCCTACATAAAATGATCCCCCATTGTGCCCCCTACCACCAAAGGGTCATCATTTGAATAAACTTGAATCAAAACCACCTGAGGATGCTTCCATATCAATATGACTAAATATTTCTTTTCTGTTCTTGAGAAGAAGATTTTTTTCCAATATATTCCTATGTAAAGTTTTGATCACCCATTTTGGACCCACCCTATTCCCAAGGGTCATAATTTGACAAATTCGACTCTACCTGAGGATGCTTCAGTATCAGTTTGGCTTTGTTGTTCTTGAGAAAAACATTTTTCAAAGTTTTCCCCTATATATTCCAGTCTAAAACTTTGATCCCCCATGTGACCCCACCCTACCCCAAGGGGTTATGATTTGAACAAATATGAATCTAACATAATCTGAGGATTCTTCCATATCAATACACATGGCTTTTCTGTTCTTGAGAAGATTTTTAAAGTTTTTCCCTATATATCCCTATATATTCCTTTGTAAAACTTTTTTAATATCCCATTGTGGCCCCATTCTAACCCCTCTCCTCCCCCCCCCCCCCCCCCCCTCCCGAATTGAACAAAACTTGAATGTACATTTAGATTTTTCCTATATATTCCTATGTAAAACTATGATCCCTCATTGTGATCCCATCCTATCCCCAGGGATCATGATTTTAATACACTTGAATCTACACTGTATAAAGACAGTTTTGTTTAAGTTTCAACGTTTTTGGCTCAGTGGTTCTTGCGAAGAAAATTTTTAAAACATGTAACTAAACTTTCACTATTTCTGAATTATCTCCCCTTGAATGAGAGTGTGGACCTTTGAATCCCCTTCACCTAAGAATGTTTTATACCAAGTTTGGTTGAAATTGGCCCTGTGGCTGTGGAAAAGAAGTCAAAAATGTGAAATGTTTACAGGTGGACAGGTAAGCTAAAAAATGCTTTGATGTCTAATATTTTACCTCAAGCCCAGTCAAAACATTGCAGTTTTTATCATGTTTTTGGAGCAGCTCAAGTTTATAACTCTTAAATAGATATTTCAAAGTTTTGTAAACAGTAGGTGCAAATATGAATGTACTGTTTATCTGCATTTTAGACACTTGTTTTTCTAGGCATGGGATGGATATCTTATATGAAATGTTTAATCATCAATCAATTACGGCCCTTTCAATTATAGTGGACCTTCAGATATCCGGACGCCAGATATCCAGATGCTTCAGTATCCGGACGATTTTTTAATCGAAACGGAATTTTTTAACGTTATGTTGTATTGTTTAACTGGTGATTCAAGTATTCCGACGCTTCACATATCCGGACAAATTGACTAGGAACCAAAGCGTCCGGATAAATGAGGCTCCACTGTATATCAGAAGGTCACATTTAAATTAAATCAAAATATCCTAATATTATAGAATCTTAGTCATTAATTTCTACCATGGAATTACAAATTGAAAATGTACAATGCCACATTTATGCAAGATTTTTCTCATTTAAATAGATTAACAGAAAAATGAATTTAATATTACTTTTTTATCATTATACCCAGTCCTATTTAAAGCATCAAAAGTTTGGAGTGCTGAGAATATAAAAGGATGCACCTGCAGAGAGGATAAAACTACAACGGAATTTACTTATCTCACAGGTGGTTAAAAATTCCATCATAAATATGACATATTTAACCTTAAATTATCAAATGTTATCAGAGAATTACTCTATCAGCAGACTAAATAGACTAGATGCTGTTACATTAATCCTCTTCCTAATGTGTCTTACTATCCCCCCCCCCCCCACCACCAGTTACATGTGTATGTGTTGATTGCTTCTTTTACTTACCTGAGCAATAGAAAAGCTTATAAGACCCCAGTGTGGGAAGTAAATGACTAGGAATGCAGCAATAAGACATCTCACCAACTCTGACAGAGCCACAGAGAGCACCTGTACAAAACACAAGGTCTTATTAGAGCTCAAAATTAAAGCTCAGTCAAATACATAAAAACTAGTTATAAATTGTCATAATAAAAAATAGCATCATTAAGGCTTTTCTTTCTAAATAGACATTAAATTCAACAATTTCTTTATTGAAACTACCCGGTAGATTTTCCAAGAAAGTTTGTCCATTTTTGATATATAATTAAATTCATTGAAGGCTTTCATTACATAAACAAAAATACAGACATTATACCTCAATTTTCATTACTCTTTTTTTTATTTTTTAAAGTAGTTTAGATAGCATCTGCACATTAATCTATGGGGGTTAAAGAAAATTTGATAGCATTTACGTAAAACATTAAAAAAATAATTATCTGTTCAGCAATATTAAAAAAGTGTGGGTTTTTTTTAACATCTTAAAAATAAATTTGATGAATGACCTAATAAAAGTACATGCAATATGATGCTATTGAAAAATAGTTTCAAAAAATTAATTGTTTTCATGCAGGATCATTTAACCTACATCTGGTATCTCTATCATCAATTTTCTGTGCCAGTGAGTTTAATAACCCCTATAAGAACTGCCAGTGATAGCTATATTGTAGTATTAATTGTTTGTCTACCTTTAAAAGTAAGATATTTATCCCGAATTCATTAATTTAATGATTGAACTCAACTCTGAGTCAGCCCCTCCAAGCTAAGAAAATTATACAGTTAAAAATCTTGATCCCAAATTGTGGTCCCCACTGAATCCTTATAAGGAAACAGGTGATTTCAAAAGCAAGAGGCCCAATAAATGGGCATTTAGTCTTTATGGTCAAAGACAAAAATATAAAACCATAATGCTACAGCTCTGTAGCAGGGAATATTCTAAAGTTAAGAAGCAAATCTACAACCAACCAGTATGCTCATTCAAGAATTACTTGTTTATAAACCTCACAGTTCATACACGTGAGTCTATACAGTGGAGAAGTGATGTAATATAATACCCGGAGTCTGTTGAAGAGGTGGCATTGTCCTATGATAAAGTGTGGTCTGGCTAACGTAGTGATAATGGTCGTCAAACAAAAGCATACAACACCGGTACCATAGTAAGGAATGCTTTCTGAATCTGGGCTCTCCAAGACAAACATCCAAACACATCCAAACACCAGGCACACCAAAATACTCATGGGAAAACTGTAGAGAGAGGAACAGGATATTAAATTGTCTGATTGGGACATCACTGGTTTAAAAAAATGGGAAAAAAAACAACATCTGAGATAGACAAGTTTCACTGTATCTGAATGAATGAATAGATTTGAGTTTACCTGGATTTTGTTTGTCAATAAATATATCTAAAATTTTCAGTTTTTTAGCAATTAAGTGTCCTATTCTATGCATAAAAAATTCATATATCTTCATTCAAATCACTATTATAGCAAGACACTCTTGGAGTTATGTGTAAAGGGGGGGGGGACATCTTCGCTAGCCAAGGGTTTCTGATACACTACTCTCCTCATAATCCCTTGGCATACAGTGTTGATAGAAGATGGGTTTTTTTCCTCGAGTTCTGATTGGGATTCGGTTCACCCAGTCGACCAATCAGCAATATTTTTGTAAATGACGATATTTGCGTTCAGGATACTTCTTGACTCTTTAATATCAGAAATGAAAAACGCAAGTAAACAATGATCCATAACCCTTGGCTAGTGAAGAGGGGGGGGGGGAGATAACTGGGTCTTAAAAAAGTGAAAAAACCACCATGGGTTTAATGGTGTTAAAGAATGTTAAATGAAATTTCAAAAGTGGCAATGCAAGGAAGAAGAAAAGTTCTAAGGCCAAGTCTGAAGTACTAGAACAGAGGTTTGAGGATATATATGGTGAGGTAAAGTTTAAAAGGCCAGAGGCGAACCAGTGAGGAGAGATGATGTCTATCGTGGAGTAGAGATGAGGTCTGATGTAGGACAAGATGAGAGAGGATATCTATGGTGAAACAGAGCTTAGCTTGAGATGAAAAACAAAGATGAGAGATCTAGGATATCATATTTATAAGTAAGGGGACCTGAGGGAGAATAAGTATAAGTATAAAGGCATTATTAAACAAGGGAGAAACAGAAGGTCTGAAGTAGAGAAAATACGGTAAAATGTGAAAGACGGGAAGCAAGGATGAGAGGAGACTTTGAAAACTTGAAATAAAAACAAAAATCTCCCAGATCCTTGCAGATGTTTTGGTGTATATTTGGTTGATATTTCCAAGAAATATAAAAGATATATTATAATGTTGATATAAAGTATAATTCTGTTTTATACATCATATAAATCAAGTAAATGAATGAAATAAAAAATAAAACTTAGATATATACTATTCTGACATGACATTTGATTTAGATGGTTTCAGAGGCCAATGTAACAAGAAAACAACTCTGGAGGTCTCAGTGAAGCATAAACATGATGGAAAGATTGAGGCTAAAGGTCGACCGATAAAGTTTGAGGTCTGAGAAAAAGACAGGATGACATGGAATAACCAACAAGCACTTGTTTTATCCTTTTAAGGAATATACTCACGTTAGCCACATCTGGTTAACAACCTGTCGCCAGTCTTTATCTTCTATTTTGCTGAGACAGGCCTGGTCAAATGACTCTGTTGCTAGGAACAGGGTAGTGGTATACAGCAGTGTCAGTCTGTAAAATAAAAATCATTCACATCATAGAAACAATAGGACTTCTGAAATAATTAATGTTGACCAAAAGGAATGTCTGTAATTTATTTTTCTTCACTACATATTGAATTTTGATAAAATTTTCTTTATACATGTACCTATTAAAATATTACAGTAAAAAGCTGGTGTAATTATCTAATCATATAAATTGCAACATTCATTTCTTTTTTTTGTACATGTGATTAATGGCAAAGCCATTTTTTTTATAAATTGTAGAGCTCAAATAGGATGTATAATGGACAAATACGGCCAAATTTGCATGCTTTGCAAAACTCAGCATATCAAGATGATTGGAATTTTTCTAAGTCCAAGGGGCATAACTCTGTCCTAAATGGCTCGATCATCCCCTGAACAAAACTGGGGTTATTCCATGTCATCTAGATATTCGTATTACTAAATTTCATTTCAATATGTGCAACCTCTGTAAAGAAAATGAACGGAAACTGATGGTGGACTGACAGAGATCAATTGACTGACAGACAGACAGCAGCAAAGCAATATGCCCTCCCTTCTTTGAAGGAGGGCATTATAAAAAAAATTGGGCTCACAAGTATCAAAAATCAACTCAAGAATGCTGCTTCTGATTGGAGGTGGCAAATTTCCAGGTGTTTGTAATGGCATTGTGCATGGTTCTGACAATTCCTGTCACATAAAATATTAAAATTGTGAAAAATGTCTGGAAAAGCCAGATATTTTGGACTTACATGTATAATGTAGTGGGTATTCAAAGATTTAAATTATTATGAAAACTAGAAGTTTTTTTTTTAAATAAGAATAAATGGTTATGTTAGCTATTTCCTCCAATGAATTCATTATATTAAAATTAATAGAAAGTCATTACATGTTATCACTCTATTTTATTTAAAAGTGAAATGCATCTGACAGCTAAGATGGCATAATTATGGGTTGTTTACCAACAACCCATACAGCTAGCCTCTCTCTGCTCATTCCTGCTTTCCCCTGTAGGTCAAAATTTTGATACAAGACAGACACACATCTGTCATTCTTGAAGATACACAAACTGTTCAAGGCCAGAAATACCAGATTCTACAAATAATTAATTCTATGAACATTAACCTCATACATGTCCCTGAAATTGTATTGATACAGTTTATCTAGCCTCCTATAAATTTTAAATAATGTCACATATTGTGCTATACTGCAAATAAGCTGAATATCTATTTTCTATATTTAATGATTTTTTTTATTTGGATGGCTTTCCAAGAGAAAAATATAATTTTATCAAATTCAAGAAAAAAATGTTAAAATTAAAAAAGTTTTGTTGAAGTTACCATTAACTATATTGTCAGTCAGAATTTTTTTACGGGAACCTAAATTACTAAGCATTTGGGTAAATAATGCTCCACTGTACTTAATTTCAACTACATTGATATCATATAAGTTTTTGTTTCCTTATAAAGTGAAATTGTAAAATTTTACAGTTATTTAAATTTAAATACAACATGTACATCAATAATGAACAATATGTCATTTAATTGCTGGTACATACTGTCAATGTTTCAAATTAGAACTTCAAACTTCACCTAAAAATAACTAGAATTTTCCTAATAATTATGTTGAATGGAGTAGGAAGATGGCTGCACTGAATATCTCATATCTCTGCTATGTTTTTGCATATTTTTTTTTTCACTTGAAGTTTTTCCCCAAAATTTGACCTGAGTTAGTCTTATCTGTTTCAGATCGGATAATTTCAGCACTCAGTGCTATTTAATTAAAAATTGATGAAAATAAGAGTTTACATCTTATCATGATCAGGCTCATAAATTACAGTAACTAAGCAGAGAATATGTATTACAAACAAATGTACTTCATTTAAAAAGTACCCCCAGATGGCAGCTTATGGCAAGGGTTAAAATTTCTCAAATGCAAGTTAAATGCCAAGGTTAAAAGGTCAAATTGTTGGTAAAAAAAAAAAAGGTCTTATCACAAGAAATACACCTGTGAAATAAGAAAGCCCTAGTGCTAACAGATCAAAAGTTAGGTCAAGGTTAAAGTTTTTAAAAGTAGGCCAAACTCTAAGGTCAAGGTCAATTATCTTATACCCAATGAAAGGTCTTGTCACAGTGAATACATATGTGAAAAACTCTAAGGTCAAGGTCAAAAAGTCAAGATTGCTGGTACCCCAAAGAAGGTCTTGTCATAAGGAATACACCTGAGAAATATGAAAGCCATGGCACTAACAGTTCAAAAGTTATGTTCAAGATTAAAATTTTTAAAAGTGGGCCAAACTCTAAGGTCAAGGTCAATTATCTTATACCCAATGAAAGTTCTTGACACAGTGAATACATATGTGCAAAATGAAAGCCCTAGCACCGACTTTTCAAAGTTTATGTCTATGGTAAATGTTCTTAAATTTTTGGAAAAAGTGGGTCAAACTCCATCAAGGTCAAAAGGTCAAATTTCAATTATACCAAAAGAAAGATCTTGTCACAAGGAATACACCTGTGAAATATGAAAGTCATACCCACCAAAAAGTTAAGGACACTAGGTGGTCCAAAATTTCAAAAATTCTGCTATCAGTTACAGTTTTGATCTCTGTTTGCCCTACCAAAACACAAGAACCCCCTAAGTCAAGGGAGCTGGAATTCACAATTTTGGAAGAGGGACAGTTGCTCGCCATAAAAACCACTTTTATCTTAAGGGGGAGAGAATAATATTTTTAAAGAATTAATGTGTTTTCACTATATATTTATTATTAGAGTCCCACCCTTACATTAGAACCCCTTACACAGGGGAAAAGAAATTGACAATTTTGGAAGAGGAACCCTTGTTTATTATGATTAATGCACTTAGTTTTTCTGCTAAATACCCAGGTGCAGAGAAGAAGAATTTAAAAAAAAAATGTTTTTCACTAAACATTCAACTGCCCTCCTAGGATTTGTGCATTTTTATGATATGATCAATAGAGCCCAACCTTAATGCTAGAACACCTGACCTAGGATCTAGGAAATTCACAATTTCTGAAGAGGCCTCTTTTGTCTTTATATCTATGTGTGGAGAAAAGGAATATTTGCTTTTTCATTTTATGAGTATTACATGTAGAGCCTAACTTTCACTCAATCTAACACTTGACCCTAAGACTATAAAATTCACTATTTTTGTACCACCATTGATGCTATCAGATGAATGGTTGATATTTGTTTGATTGGAGTGACTTAGGTGGCCTAAAAATCAACTTTTTTTTTTACCTGAAGTTGCACTTTGAAAATATAAACTTCAAAGTTATGAGAGCTAGCGTGTATAGCAAAATAATTATACAGCATGCTGCATTTGTAACAGGCAATGAAGGAAAGCATACGAAGTCTGAAAACATTAAATTGCAGCTGTTTTTTTAAATAAAATTCCTTTGTTCTACATGCTATCTCCATCTTAATTTTTCACTCAAGTAATATCAATCTGGATCTCTAATTTCTTGTCTGGATGTAATTTTCTATAAATTTCAGATTTCTGGTAAACTTGTCCATGCTGTCTGCGTAGATAATTTACTAGCACATTTTTTCAAGAAATATTATCTCACAAATAAAAATTTCTGGATTTTTTAAAGTTAGCTCTTATCTGTTTCTTAAAAAACTTTTTCTTTAACAGTGTTGACTAGACAAAATTCTTCAAAATATCAACATTTTGATGAATGCCCATCTTACAACAGGCAATGATTTATTACTCTATCAATATGCCCATTGGTCATCTTTGGCAACATTTTTAACTTTAATAATATTGGCAATCTGTCAGCATTGTGAACAATGGCACATCAGCAATTTGAAGCCAGCGCCTCCAACTTGTGTTGACTGCATGAAGTCTGGGGGGTCAAGAAATCACAACAGATTGTAGGCAGTGTATCTAATTTTGACTCTGCTCAGTGCTGATTGGTTTTCCAAGCATGTTGATTTAGAAACTGATTTTTTTTTGTTTCTGAGTGATGATGATGTGATACATATGTCCTCTCTCTCTCTTTCTCTCTCTCTTTTCTAGTGAATGTGTTACATTCATTTACCTGACATTGACCACTCCTAGCATTTCCTTAGAGATGTATCGAAGTACCACCCCATTTAGTACAAATGTCATGATCCTTATGCAAAACTGAAAATGAAAATTAAGTAGGATTAATCAGTATTCAATATTAGAGGGTTAAAGCAAAAATTTAATATAACAACCACATGGTGGTAGTACAAATGTCATGATCCTTATGCATAACTGAAAATGAAAATTAAGTAGGATTAATCAGTATTCAATATTAGAGGGTTAAAGCAAAAATTTAATATAACAACCCCATGGTGGTGGTTTTTTTTCTTTTTACAGTTAGTTGCAGGTTTCTGATAGTTGCAGATATTTTCTAGTTCAGCCATACAAAATGAAATTACATCCACAAGGAAGATAACATACCATTGCATTGAATATTCTGAATACATATATAGCCTAGTTATTCATAGAAAACTGTCACATAGAACCAGACATACAAATTTAATTTTTTACAAAAATTTACCCCGGCCTACAAAGGCTACAAATTACTAAAGTGAATTAAAATGATCTACCATGAAAACCATTCAAACATTCAAAATATAGTAAAAATAATAATGTCAGAAGAAATTAATTTTTATATGCATCTCAAGTGAATCTGACCTGTAGAGCCATGTTATAAATAGCGGCTCTTGCTGCTCCAGCTAAAAGATCACGTCCCTCCATCCTTTCACTTTAAAATGTTATAACAGTTCAGACAAAGACACGGAGAAAAAACTGGAAAATCTATTGTATCGATTACATTTCATGTATCATAATTCGATCGCCGATGAACAGCACACAAAAAGTTTTACTCCAGTCAGTCCAAATAATTTGGTTGAACGCATGGTCCAGAAGGCTTACCATCAAACCTTGAATTGTTCAACATTAAATTTTGTTGAAATAAAGGTATCATCCAAGTATTACACTAAACTACCATGTTAAATTCATAATAAAATTGTCAAACTACAATTCGTCCTCGTCATGATTTAGCTTGTTGCAGTGGCTCTGTCTTTCCATACGTCCAGGTCTATCTCACTATCAGTATCTGACTGTCGAGAAAAAAGTGAAAGTGAAACTAAATATGAAACACGTGAACCCGATCTGATGTAATAAAAACGAATAATTTCTGTATAATCATTCCTAATTTTTTTTTATTAAATTTTGCTTCTTTCGTTGAGTAAATAATCATAAATCACACAAAGACAAAATTTACAATGCGAAAATCTTCTTTTTTGACAAGGAGGAACAAGAGTTATTCCTCTTTTGTATTGGAACTCTCCTGTATAATATGGTTACTAGCCGAAAATGATGGTAGGTGCAATCATGCCTATGTTTAAAATCCATCCCAATCGTTCTATTTAGAATTGTTTGTTGTGAATTATGAAAAGGAAATGAAGAAAAGATTAAGTATAGATTTGAATTTTATGAAGTACAAGAAACTTGAGTTTGCTTAAGCTTGTATTTTTTGTGCTGTTTTGTTTGGACACAGGGGCATCTTATCCACTCTGTTCTCTACTTCACATATAAAAATACACAAGGGAAGAATCGAAAGTAGCACACGATTTTTAAAAAAAGTCAAAAAACAACTTACTTGAGAAAAGTTACACAAATCCTGAAAGGAACTAGCGCAAATAATGTCCTAGTACTTATCCAGGCTAAAATATTCCAGATATATCCATCGTAAATAGCTTTTATCCAACTAAAACCCCAGCTTTCTGCACAGTGTGAATCTCTACGCCCAAGAAAAGATAACTCACCCGGATGACAATAGGGTAGTGCCCGAAGTCTTCCAATGGCACTCGGAAGGCCTCGGGTACTACCCTATTGTCATCCGGGTGAGTTATCTTTTCTTGGGCGTAGAGATTCACACTGTGCAGAAAGCTGGGGTTTTAGTTGGATAAAAGCTATTTACGATGGATATATCTGGAATATTTTAGCCTGGATAAGTACTAGGACATTATTTGCGCTAGTTCCTTTCAGGATTTGTGTAACTTTTCTCAAGTAAGTTGTTTTTTGACTTTTTTTAAAAATCGTGTGCTACTTTCGATTCTTCCCTTGTGTATTTTTATATGTGAAGTAGAGAACAGAGTGGATAAGATGCCCCTGTGGTTTGGAAATTGCAAGTAATCACATGTTACTCTGGAATGTTCGAAATATGTAATATTCCCAACAACGAAACTTTTCTTTATGATATTTAACATCATGGTATATTTTATCAAGTGATTTCTTTTCAAATTGAGATTGCTTATCGTTGGATAACTAGGAATCCACGTATAGCAGTTTGAAAATTAAAAATTTATTGGACACTGAGGATAAACATTTCAGTTCTACATCGCGTTACCAAGGATATGATTATCTCTTCTATAAAAAGTAAATGCTTTTGTATTCAATCACTGAACGTTATAAAAATGTAAAAATGACCATAAAGGCTTGCAAGCCTTTGAAGTTCCTCCTAAAGTTAAGTAACATTTTCAAAAGGGGAGTGAAATTATGCATTAAAGGACCCCTTCATTGGAAAGAGATTAGACAATTTGCCCAAATGTGTGGAATCTTAATAGCTGTAATTTACTTAGCAGATCTCTGAAATGTGTGCAATCATAATGATTTTGGACGTGGATAGCAGCTTGGATAGCTCAGTTGGTAGAGCCACTGACTAGTGGTACAGGGGTCCTGGGTTTAATTCCTGGTCAAGCCATACATTTTCTCCTTTCCTGTTGCACATTGCTGCTATTGAAACTGCTACACGTCACATTTGATGCAACTGCCGCAAACATCCAAATCTAAACATTTTACTCTCATTTCAGCAACCACAGATTATCTTGCTGAAGGAAGGGACCGATTCCTCACAAGGAATCCCCCAGATTGTTAGCAATATCAATGCCTGTCAGTCCATAGCTGATGCTGTCAGAACTACACTGGGTCCAAGGGGCATGGACAAACTAATCATCAGTGAGCAAGGTGACTCTTAAATTTGTAAAAGCTGTTATTGAATGTATTCTGAATTCACAAAACATGTCATAATAAATTATTTGTTGCCTCAGTATCCACCATGAAAGAATATGTTAAAAGAACTTTTTTGGCTACTCTTGCAGGAAAGTCTATAATATCAAATGATGGAGCCACAATTTTGAAGAATTTGGATATTGTTCACCCTGCAGCTAAAACATTAGTTGATATAGCTAGATCTCAAGATGCAGAGGTAAAAATGTTGCAGTCACTTTAACCTTGTTATTGCCAAAGCATGTTTGATTTCTTGTTTTAAAATTTCATTAAGATATTTTTTATCCATTTGTTTACAGGTGGGTGATGGTACAACATCAGTAGTTTTATTAGCTGGTGAATTTTTGAAACAAGCCAAACCTTTTGTGGAAGAAAATGTACATCCTCAAGTCATCATCAGGGCATTCAGAAAAGCTACAAATCTAGTGAGTTATTAGACTCTAGAGTAAGAAATGTCACTTGTAATTCCTAATCCTCTTCTATATCACAGTTCTGAGTCCAGTGTTCTTTTAATTGTTGATTCCTCTAAGTTTTCTTGGTTGGGGTCAGCAGTTAAAAGTAAACACATTGTTGATTCAGAGCCTGATGTAGAGAGGACAGAGAAAAGGAAGTCGTGAGACTGCGATGACAAACATCGTCTTCTCGGTTCGAACTCCTTCCAACACTTGATTATTGTATATGTTCATTAGAATATAATTAGAATGAAATAAGGAAAATCCCAATTCAGAGATCAAGTATTTAAGTGGTTCTAACTTTCTGGAGACATGATTATTCTACTTTTTCTTTATACTAAGCTGTTTTTTCCAGAAGATCTAAATTAATTTTTTCTAACAATATTTATATATTCATCATTTTCAACTTTATGATGATAGACTTAAGATGAAGTCCATGTATTTATTGAGTAAATTTCTTAAAATTTGAAAGCTGCTTCATTGTATCTTGTATCATATGAAGATAATGAAGAAATATTCTTTTGATTTATGATTTTATGTACTGTACTTTGTTTTCAACAGAGTGTTCAAAAAATCAAAGAAATTTCTGTCAAAGTGAAGAAGGATGACAAGAAGTAAGAAACCATTTCATGAGCAGTCAGCATGTAGCAAAACTGAGTCTGAAATACATATAATTGTCAGAAGTGTTTAACACAGAGAAAATGAAGTTTATATTGTTACTTCCAGGGAGCACAGGCAATTACTGGAGAAATGTGCAGCCACAACACTGAGCTCCAAACTTGTGGCTCATCAGAAGGACTTCTTTGCTAAAATGGTGGTAGATGCTGTGATGTTATTAGATGAACTACTCCCATTGAACATGATTGGTGTCAAGAAAGTCACAGGAGGAGCCTTAGAGGTGAGAGAAGTACTCATTCATGCATGTTAGAGAATTAGGAATGTAGTTACTTTGCATTGTTGCAGATTTCCACTCATTCGTGTTAGAAAAATAAATCAGAATTTTAGATAAAGTTGTATACTGTAACTTACTTCCACTGATAAGTCAACTGAGGACCTCTCTCAGGTTTTTGGTGTTACATCAGTGGTATATAAAGAGCCTCCACCCTGTGTGTCAGCCATTGGCTGTTTTAGTCAGGGTAGACATGATAGGGGTGTGGCTTTCTTCCTGAGAGTTGGTTGTATGCTTCTCTCTGAGTATGACCATAGCTTGTGAAGGTACATATAAACAACAAAGTGGTATTTCTCTTGCAATTTTGACATTGATCCAGAGTTTCATGATTAGGACAATAAATGGGGCACTTGGATAATAATTTATGTGCCTTTCAAGTTTACTAACCTGTACCTTGTTGTGGATTGCAGGACTCCAGGTTGGTGGCAGGTGTAGCATTCAAGAAAACATTTAGCTATGCTGGCTTTGAAATGCAACCTAAGAAATATGAGAAACCAAAGATTGCGCTACTTAATGTTGAACTGGAACTTAAAGCTGAGAAAGAGAATGCTGAAGTCAGAGTGGATAACGTTCAGGTGAGTTACCATAATCTCAATATAATAATAATACAATATTATAATATAATAACAATAACACATTGTCAGGAGAATACAGGAAAATTTCTAAGCCTATGGAATAAGTTTCTGATCCCACACGGATTTGCCAGGGTTCGACACTAACGGTGGACCGGCGGCCCGAGTCCACCAAAAAATTGGAAGGTCCACCAAACGTTCTGGACTAGGTGGACCGTCGGTCCACTTAAAATTTAAACAACATATTAAAAAATTAAAAAAAAAAAAAAAGTGAAATTTCAGGGGTTTTTGCTATAAATCGTAATCTGTAACTCAAATTATTAAATAATTCCTCAATACCTGTATTTTACAAGAAATAAATATGCATGTAAATAATGTTTTAGGTAATCAGGGTGACCTAGCAAATCGATATTTTTTTACATGTAAAATTCATAACTCCAATATTAACAATAGAACATTCAACACGGACCTTGAACATGTTGAATAAGAAGCATGAAAAATCCGTGCCAAATTAGCCAGTCTCTCCTCTGTTTACGTAATGCACAGAAAGGTGTGAAAATTACACTGGGTAACAGGAAATCGCTTCACGCCTGAACGCACACTATTGGAGATAATTAAAATTGATTGACAGCTGCATTTATATGCATTGTTTTTTTTTAATTTTCTTGATATACATTTTAACACTACTTTTTTGAATAAACAATGAATTTAGAAAATAATTAATTAATACACATACATGTACCTATCATGCCTATGTCAGTTTTGCTTCGTAGTAAAAAAAAATATCTAGCCATAGATACGTGAAGAATTCACTTGTTTCATCTGCAAACAAATTTATTAATAATTGAAATTTTATAATGAAATCTACCTTTGGAAGCGAAATAAATGCAGGTTTTCAGCACTGTACCTGAATGATAATTAGGGCCCCGCAAGAATTTGCGGGTGCCCTATAGTAATCACTCTGTCTGTCCGTCTGTCTGTCTGTCTGTCTGTCCGTCTGTCACTCTTCCGTCCACAAATTTTCTGTTTTTTTCTAATAACTTTTTTTATGGTTGCCCAATCAAGTTCAAATTTGGTATGGTAGTTCAGTAGGCAGAAATAC